GGGTTTGAACCGGGGACCTCTCGATCTGCAGTCGAATGCTCTACCACTGAGCTATACCCCCGACACGGTATTCAATGAGGGATTTCGACATACCTAACTTACAACATTACTTCTATTTTTCTTTTAGAAAAAGTGCTATAATTGATAATTGGAATAAGCTTTTTGGTAGAAAATGTTCACATGAAAATAAAAATTAAAAAAAAATAAAAATCATTGTAAAAACCAATACTAAGTGATCCATTTAAGTGGGTGCAATCATTATCTCGAAAAGTATTAAATTTTTCTGGACTTTTTTTTTAGAACATTTAAGAAAAAAACTGCTCTACAATTGTATACTTATGTTTTTTTTTTGTCACTCTTATTTTTGATGTTAAAACCACGAGAAATTTTTAATGTAAGTTGTCATTTGAAAATCCAAAGTAGGTAGTGATTTTAACATCAAAAATAAGTGTGACAAAAAAATAACATAAGTATAAAATTGTAGAGCATCTTGATTCTTAAATATTCTAAAGAACAAAGTCCGGAAAAAATTAATACTTTTAGAGATAATGAGTGTACCCAATTTAATGGATCACCTGGTACATTTCTCGCTCCGTTCAGGTTCTGAAATACGGCCATGTGATAGGTACACTCATCAATTTAAATTTCCGTAGTTAATACCTAATTATACGAGTATATACGCAGATACCTAAAATATAGTATAACATACGTTAAGTCGACCATGTGGTATGGATCAACCACAAACATACTACATTTATATAACCAATCACTTTTTTCACATCATGTTGAAGTTGGAAAGTCTGGATAGACAGGGCCGTATTAAAGAAATGGTTTTGAAGGTTCACCCCCTCCCCCCCTAGAAATTTCTTCAAAAACGTTGTTTATTATTCTGAGTTTTACAGTAAAATAGGAGAATTGAAACCAAAGTCTGAAAAGTCTGAAAAATCTGATAAAAGTGAATATAATTAACAAGTTTAAAAATGTTCTTTCGTAATAAATTGTTACCCATGTTTATAAAAAAGTATTTATCGAAATAGCTAAGATGCAACCCAGAAATCAACAAAAATAATATCAATAATAATGTATCGTTAATTGTTATCAGTTTTTCATTTTTTTTTTTTTTTCAGAAAAACTGTTGTAATTAATTTAGAGACAAATTGTTCAAATAAATTACTACCAGGCGAAAAACCGCAATATTTTAATGCACGATGTATATCATTTTGAACATTTTTCTTCTTTTTCGGGCTTCTCAAAAGTAACACATACCTGCTTCCATCTATCTTTATCCTGTACTTATTAAAATTTCTATCCATCCTGTATTCCAATTTCCACTTGATTCTTTACAACTTTGTCTATTTATTTTTGTTTCGGTCTGCCTAGTGGTCTTCTCCAAATGGGTTTCAAATTTATAATCGCTTTCATTAAACTATTTGATTTCCATACGCGACCTGCCCATGCAACTCTTCAATACCTCAATGATGCTTCTATAACAGGCTAACGTACAGATATTTGAGGTTATATTTTCTTTTTAAAATGTACAACTTTAAACATTTATAGATATTCTCCATGATTATCCCATTTTGATTCACCTCATTTGACAGCTCATTGAAGCATTTTTACTAGCCGAAAGTGTTTTAACATATTTGAATATAGGTGCCTTTACTGATATTTAAATATTATATTTAATGCTTGTCCAGCCTTTTTGTTTGTCGGTTTATTATCGCCTTAATATTTTATATATCACTGGAAAACGCCATTACATAATATTATGGTCGTTTGAGCACGATTTTTTAGAAGAAAATACAGGTAATATAGACGGTATTATTTAGTTAGTACTCTGGTACTCGACATCGACAATACGACATGCAGAAATAAATAAATAACCAATCTGCATTTTTCGTCCGAAAAGAATGGTAAGAGCCACCGATTTAAATCCTGGGATTGAGTCGCATTTATACGGTTCGGAAATATTTTGATTTCCGTGCATCTTCCCACACAATTACCTCGAAATTGACTCGGTTTAAAATCGGCCGTAATCTCCTTATTTCTATCCCACAGTAGGTACCTATATACACCCCAATTTATCACTCATCCGGTTCTTTCCCGATTACACACTTCATCGGCAATGCGACCGTTTTAAACGGCGTCTTCTTTTTAACCAGAGAGATTCATAGTCTTTTTATCTATATTTCGTGAGTAGGTACGTATCATACCTATGCGAGGTTCAGCTATTCCGAATATGCGGAAAAACAAAATACAGGCAGTTCTCCGCTGTAGGTTCAGCGATTCATGATAGAAAATAAAAGGGGTAATCCGAGCATGACGAATGGTATCTAAGTAATCAATTTGCATTTAAATATAAATAAATTAAGTGGTATGTAGTAACATTTTTTTTTTTTTATCTGTGTGCAACTTTTCTACTTTTCTCTCTTGCTCCGACTTATAAATGTATCACCTTTTCTGAAAAAAAATTTGACTGTAAATGTACTTTAAGGGGGTTATTTTTCGGTTTTCCCAGTAAATGTAAAAATCCGGATAAAACATAGGAAAACTGGGAAAATCGGTACAACATTAAACAAATATTATCAAAGAAAATATATACAGCCTTTTTAATTATTTTACTATTTTATGGCATGTATATTGTTGACAAAGCGTCAACTGAACTCCACTCAGAATCGTTTTTTCGTAAGCAATGGTTTATCGTTGCTTACAGGTGCTATACATTGAATTATATATAACATTGAATCCTCATTATCCTATGATGTCGTTTGAATCTTTAAAATAAAGCTATGTAATTTGCCCTATCACAGGTAGTGAAAAATGTGTAGGTATTATAAACGCGATTTCGGTAGGTAATTTATAATGAAAAAAACTAGGCAACTCCGGGTAAAATCACTGTTGTAGGTGAGAAATTGGAAAGGTAGTAGAGGGAAAATTTAAAGAATATCTGTAAGCAACGATAAACCATTGCTAACGAAAAAACGATACTGAGCGGAGTGGTAAAAAAGTTATTCGCAGGAAAAAAAATTTGTACTTCTTTGTAAAACCATAGCTTTTTCGATCCACTCAAAATCTAAAATTGTAAAATTGTTCGTTAAATAAATTATTAAATTTAAATGTTATGTTATAGGTATGGGTATGGAATTAAAAACGTTTAAATTAATGTAGCCTTGTCACCACCAGATTGAATTGCCAGTGTTATGTTTCTCGGCCAAATGAAGATGAAATAAATTGGAAACAATACGTATACTGTGTAGGTATTATATTGATACACATTTCATAAACCTCCGGAATACTTAATCGAGTATCTTTTACTGTTCGGATAGTAAACAAGTGCAAATTGCATACACTATTTTCGTCTATCCGCCGTGGTGAAAATTACATGTCTTTATTTTGATGCGAATAACCCACGAAAATATAGTGGACGAAGCATTGGCATAAACCAGGACTAGGTCATGCGCGGGGAGGATCAGTATTTTATAATAAGAACACGTTTATGCATTTTTTTTTTTTTTTTCAAGTAAATATAAGAAATCATTATTCGGGAAAAAACTGTAGATAAATAGGTAAATCTATGATCTAAGAAAATTGTCAATATAATTCTAGGAGGAAAAACGCCTAAGTTATAATATCTCACGTACACGAATTCAAATAAACACTATTTAGATAACAATAGATCGAGACGTGACATTTACGTCCAAACACGGTACGTTATGGGCATGGGACTGACATGATGTGCACATTCACGGAGAAATTTACCAGGTATTTCAATATTTAATTTGATTCGCAGTCATAAATTATTCGAATCGCTAACACGTGTCCGAACATACAATAGGAAAATACGGTGTCTTTTTAAAGATTCCAAAAAATGTTTACAATATGGCATACGACAACACGAATCTAGTTTAAAAAACTAATCGAAACTCGAGTTGGGCGAGTTAAATATTATCAGTCGTCACAAATCTATCCGTACATGACCCCTACCAATAAAAAAAATTAAACGCTTTAATACTAAACGAACGAGGGCTTGAACGGATTCCTATACAATAGGGACGTTAACGACACTGATTTTCACATTCCTATATTATATTGATATTGACGAATTTACATGTTTACTCCTGAATTTTATTACGTAGGCGACCACCGTGTTTATCCAAAGCAGTTATCCGTACGGGGCAACTATAAGCAACCACAAATGTTTGCGGGTCGTTTTTTCAACTAGAGATGGACACAACAGACTAATAATTCCTACTGACTAAGTAGTGTGTAACTAATTTAGTCAACGAGATAATATTTTTCAACTAACGGCTAATGACTAATTCAGTCGATTAATGAATAATAAGACGACTTATTTCAAAGATTTTTAATATCAGTTGATTGAGTACATTTTTAGTCAACCAATCAGTCGGTAGTAATCGATGAAAACCGCCTGATAATCGGTAGTAATAGTCAGTTGTGCCCATCCTAAATTTCAATGTGTATGTTTATTATCATTGAGTGGCCCCCAGTATTGTACCGCATAGTTAATGAACGCTATATATTTTAATACTAAAAATACAAATTTAAATTGATATATTTATTATCATGTTTGGCTGACGTTGAATAATTTTCAAAACTGCATAAACAATAACAGTTTTCAACCATCATTTGACACGGGAAGGGGACGGTTCATTATGACCAAATTTAACAGTCTACTCTCTAGTCTGGTAATGAAAAATATTAAGGGAGGGGGGGTTACGAACACAGAATTAAAAATTCTAAAATTTATAAATAAAGAACACTCTAGCGCACATATAGATGTATACAAAGAGAAACTAAAATCACCTAGCACTATATCTTACCTTTAATGAACTTCAATTCAAATACATATTTATCAGATTTTATGTTTGTCACGGGTTTACTAAACTAACCCAATTTTCAATAAAACAACTAACAATATTATTATACTATTAGAAGTCATTACACCAAGTACAAAATGTTTTCAAAAATACAAAGTTGATATTTTAATAAAGAAAAAAACTTATTATATTAATATTTATAATTAAAATGACCATTCATTGATAAAAATAATTTTCCATTGATATTCAATTAGTTTTTTAATTTCCAAGACATTTTGTTGTTTCTAACAGAAATGAATCAATCTTACATAATTATTTAACATACACACAATAATTACAAAATATTAATGTTAAGGTTAACACTGAATTGTTTAATATTCAATGATTAACATTATACAAAAGTGGTAGTAGATTACAGTTCCCAAGCAAACAAATTTACATAAATAACAATGAGAAATTTAGTTATCTAATTGTAAAATAAAAATTGGAAGAAATAAACTGGATAATAAACAAATGAAAAATATTTAAATCCAGTTTATTGTAAAATCAATTTTTAATAATAATATCCAATTCAGTTTTGATCGCAATGACACCTTCTATTAGTGGACTATGAGCAAAACGACTATAAAGCATGTTTTGACAAATCACTAACAAATCGAATAAGTTTACAGCAATTGATCTTCTGAAACATTTTGATTTATGTCAAGTAAGAAACTACTTTAAATAAAATATAATTATGTAACAAATTTTACCTTTGCATTCCAGATGGCCAAAGATCAACATTTTGTAAATAATAACGAGCCAAACTCATAATTACTTCCAATACATGTAGCTCACTGGTCTTCTGCCACCGTGGATCATTAGTAGAATAAATTCTGTAAACCAAACAAATTGACACCATGATGAATTTAAGTGATTATTAACTTGAAAAATTAATTGTTAACATTAACAAAACAAAAATAAGCTAATTACTTTTTATATATTGCCACTAGAGATTCAATAGGGGCACCAATAGTTAACATAGTCGTATACACAGATTCCAAATCACCACCTAAGTTACAGTTTAAATACTCCAGCATAGTTGTTACGTATTCTAAAAAAATAATACACTATTATTTAATTGGTTTTGGAATAATATTGAAATGTGTATACTGCATACCCAAGTCAAATGTAGACGAGTTGATTGGATGTGAACTGGCCAACGACTTAATTTTTTCTAAAGCAATGGTCATTTTATTGTGTTCACCAATGTCCCCACAATCTTCCACAACTAAAGAATATATGAAAATACAATAAAATAAATGTAACTAAAAATAAAAAATTATTTTTATAATATCCAAAACAGCTATTTTAGAAATATATTTTGAAATTTTCTATTTTTGCAAATATAATTGAAACACAATCATTTTAAATGGGTAGTGGACTAGTGAAATGTGAATATAATAGAATCATGTGCATTTTTGATCCACGTATGTTAGAACCACTTAATGTGAAACTAATCTTGAAATCAATTGATTTGAATTATTTTTCAACATAAAAAATTTAAATGCAAAGTCTTATTCTGTATTGATAAGTATTTACCTTTAAGTAATATATTTTCCCAAATCTGGTTAACTAGTTCGCGGTCATCATGATTGGAAAGTTGTAATATAGCTAACTGAGCTTCCCATAGACGGTGAGGTTCAGCAAAATTACTATAAAGCTAAAACACATTCAACATTTTATATAATATTATACACCAACATTCACTTCATGGTTAGTTTGTTTTTATCACAAAAAATATCATACTTCGCCTAATGTAAACAGACTGTTGTTGAGTTTCTCAATTATTTCAGCTTTTCCATCAACTTGACTTGATAAAAATAAATCCAATATCTAATTTGTTAAAATTAAGTTGTACAATAATTAATATGAAAACAGAAAAAAAGTGAATATATTATAAATATCAAACCATTTTCTGTATTTCGGCTACTTGTAACAAGTCTTCTACTTCTCTGAGACTTGTAGCATTTAAAGCAGGTGTACTCAACTTTTTACTGCGCAAGCATGCCATTGCTCTACCCAAATACATTAAACGATCACTTAAAGTTAAGCCACTCCTGGTGAACAATTTAAATTGTTAGATTAATAATATAATATACCTATGTATTATTATATATAATTTTATAGATATTTACTCAGGTCTCTTAGATAATGACGCCAAAACTTCAGCTGCCTCATTGTAATTTCCGTTATACTCATAATATCTACATAGCACATCTTTAATGTAATTATTATTATCATCAGACTGGGACTGGGCCAATAAAAACTTCTCTAGGCTATGATGTCCCATTTCAATAGTTTCTCTGATTAATTTTTTATCAATCATCCATCTGTAAACTACAGTATGCATGATTTCGTCATCACAGGAAATACACAATTTTATCAATTCTGCAATCTGTTAAAAAAATCAATACTAAGCATTAAAAATAAATAAATAATAATTAAAATACATTTTAAAAATTAATACCAAGTTAGATGATTGCTCTGGAGTTAGCGCAGTATTTTCTAGAATTCCAGGTATTAGATTTGGTCTTGTAGGTATGTTCAAAGATGGATTTTTCACCATGATTGAGTATAGGTAATCCAAACTAGAACTAATTTCTTTGTAAATATCTAATCTAAATACAACAATAAATTTAAAAAATATTAAACATTAATGTTAACATCTCCAAAAAAATAAAATATATATATATATTTATAGGGAATAAAAACTAATTAATAATAACATTTATTCCAATATTATATTATTACCTGAGCATATAAGCTCCGTACCCGGGTCCATCTCTATCTAAAACCATATTATTAACAAAATAATGTCCACCTAAGTTCTTAGGATCAATTTTATTAGCACATTCTGTACACATTTGATACACTCCTTCCATGTAAGCGCAATTTGTATATTGTAAACACACAGAAGTCAAATTTATCTTTGGTGCCACTTCTTTCAATACCTAAATTATTAAATAATGTATTTATATTTTATCAACCAAGACCTAACTCATCAATGTTAAATTATTAATTGAAAATAACAACCTTTAAAGATTGATATAAAATTTGTTTTCGCTCATCTTCATTAATAGTAGATTGTGCCAATTTGATCATCTCCGAGGCCTAAATAAACAAAAAATCAAAATAATTTCTTTATAAATTTCTATAAATTACACATTACTTTTGCACAAGCAGCATCTTCGGAATGGTATATGGATGGACAAACTTGACGTAATTTTGTACTGATCGAATCAACAGATGAACTTTCATTTAAATATCTAAACACAATACAAAAATTAGATATAATTACCATTATATAGTAATCAACATTTTATATAAAAAGTATAACTACTACTTTAATACTACATGTATTAAATCAAAAAATAATAATTATAGTATACGTACGTATCTAATAGTTTTTGAACCAAACTTTGACATATTTCTTGATGAACAAGGATCAATTCTTTAAAAGTCACATTTTCCAATACACGGTGTTCTTGCTGAAAATAATTAATACAATTATTGTACCAACTTAGGTTTAATATTTTAACAAGTATACAAATTCTAAGATTAAATATTATCTAATTTAAAACAATTTGTAGTTTTCAATAGATTATAGAGTGAGAAAAACGTTCACTTACCTCACTTAATTTATTCGCAATAATATAAAATTGATGCTCGCTTAGTAATTTCCATAGATTAAATACCTCAGCACTTTGAACTACTAATTGTTTTAAACAGTTAATGGATTTTGATTCAGATTGATGAGCATCTTGTACAGTTGTACGTCTCGACGAGTCTAATGGTATTCTAGTATAATTTGCCAACATTTTATAGTAATTGTTCATGAATGTGTGTAAAGTTTGCAAGTGACTAGCTACAAACAAACAATCATCTGGGGATACTGTATTTACAATCTAAAGATAAAAATAATATTTAATCGTTTTTAATTTTATTAATCGCATGCTAGCATTAATTATGCATTACATAAGTTTTTCCATCAGTTGTCTCCATGTTTACAGCTTTAATATTCCACAGTGGTCTTAGCAAACGACTAACATATAAATATAAGGCATTATGTTTGAATGAATAATGAACACTAATTGATTGTAAATTTGTTATATTTGGCTGGTTGTTTATAAATGATGTATTTGGCTGGACATTCATAAAAGATGTATTTGTCTGATTGTTTATAAAAGATGTATTAGGCTGGCTGCTTACTAAAGATGGCATAGATGTTGTAAAATGACCCGACCTATAACCTTGAAATAATAAAATAAATTGTATACGTAAAATTAAATAATTTTCTTTTTGTATAATTAATCCTTATACATTCAATGATAAGTATCTATATAAATAAAAATCAATTGCCTATGTATGAAAGGTCATCACTTGAGAACGGTCTGACCGATTTGGCTGATTTTTTTGTTTTTGTTTTAATTTTTAGAACAAGGTAATATGAAATAAAAATTTTGGAAAATTCACCAGTAGACATAAATTTAAATGAAAATCTCAATAAAAAAAAATGTTTTAAAACAAATTGATTAATATAAATTCATGCCAAAAGAAATACAGTGAACTAAGTAACCAGTTTCAATAGCAACTATACGAACCTATGTCACATGTGTCACAAAGTGCCACACATACAATTTTGGTGATACCCCAATTTAAATATAATTCATTATTTTTTCTTTACTTTCTATGAAAAAAAAATTTTATATTATCATTTTTAAGGTTATATATATATTATTTTTGTACTGATATTGACGCACTTGAAATTTTTTGAATGATTAAGTATCGAAAATTTAAAAATGGAATGAATAGTTTCAAGAAAATGTAATTCGAAAAAAAAATGTATTTATTTAAAAAGTGAATTTAAAAAAAAATATTGTGAAATTGACAGTAATATTACAATCAAAAACCTAATTCTTATTGAATGGAATAGTTTACAAAATTTATATTCTTCTATAAATAATTTTGTTATTTTCCTTGTTGAATTTGATTAAATCGACATTAATAAATTATCTTGGAACAAATATTAGTGCAGCAAGTATTCAATTGAAATCCACCAATTATAATTCCAGGATTGATTCATTAGCTACAAAAATGCAGCAACTAATATCCCATTAAAACCACTAATTTCTAACAAAAATATATATTCAACAAACATTTTTGATTCAGACTTTGTTATTTTAATGTTTAATACTAAAAAGTTCAGTTTAGATATTAAGTTAATTATCTATGCAACAAGCAAAAAAATAAAAGGTAAAACAAACAATTTCTTCACACACAGGGCAAATAAAATCAAACCAGAAATTTATGTTTTACACAAGGGTATCAAAAGATTTGTCATCTCTGAACTATACTGTTTATTGTGTGTATTCTTGTAACAACTATTAGAGCTCTTACCCTAATTTTTTATTTCATCTAAATAACCAAGATTAACCGTAAAAAAATAATTTGATAATTGATGTCAAAGCCAGACGCCTATTTTCTACCTATTTATTTCGTTCAATAGTAGCATGGGAAACGTCAGGCGGAACAGCTTATTTGTAATAATATAAATCCAATATTGGATTTTTTTTTTTTTCATTAGCTTATATAAAGACAAAATACAAAAATAAAAATATGAAATAAATTAAAGTTCTCACTAGTATTTTGGTTTTTTGAAACTCGTGTTAAATCATGAAATGAATCATTTAGATTTTCCGTTACCAATTTAGGTTCACCGCCATGTGTAAAAAACGCTCGAGTTGCGTATTCTTTAATCTTTTAACATAAGAAATTAATAAAATTAATTTATAACAAAATTACTAATGAATACTCAAACCTTTTGATTCTTTAATGACTGGTCACAAATAATTGTGAGACATGCCACACATGCTTGATTATTAGGCATATTTTTGAAGTAATTTTTTATTGCATCAGTCTCTGTTCCTTGACTAATGGCAAACAATTCACAGAGGGTATCATAAGGCCGAATCATTTCAAAAATTTCTAAGCCCTAGAAGATTAAAAAAATAAATAATAATAATATAAAAGTAATAACTAACTTTAAAATAATTTTTACTTGTGGAGTTATGGTAATGTACTCTTGTCGATTTTCAAATTGTTGGCGAACAACAAGGGGAGGCTGTGGTAAACTAGGGTCATTATATATCAATAAATTTGGTCCTATGTTATCCATCGATAATGGGCACATATCAAGATCAGTAACAAAATATTTTTCACTAAAATTCAGACTAAATGCATATTCATCCGGAGTAATACACCACAACAATGGTCTGTAATTAGTAATATTGGTGCCACATGCCATTATGACAGTACCTGGATATAAAATTATATAATTTTACAATTATTAAATTATTATATATTTACCTATTAATAAACTTATTTATCTTTTCAATATTTTTTGATAAAAAACTTTAAACTGGACAGCAAAACTCTGTCACTAAAAACCAAATTGTCGCTATGAAATCAATTACTAAAGTAAATAATAATGGAAAATGTTAAAAATATTTCCTCACAGATATATCATAACATTGAAATGATATTGCATACATACATTTAAGCATGATGAGCTTTACACGTATAAGAGTCCTTCTTTCTCTTAACTTTTGGTTTTAATTAATTTATGGTAAGGGCTACATATGAAATGTTAAACTATCTTTTCTTCTTTTGTTTTAAATTATATTTTGCTGAAAGCATTCTAAGCTTAAATGTATATAATGTTATCATTTATTATATTCTTATTCAATTTCAATATTATCATGATACATGTATATGCAAGAAATATTTACATTTTAGGTATTTAATTGTAAAAGTATATAGTATAGTGTAAACAGTAATTAATTTAAAAAAAAAAAATGAAATTATGAAAGTTAAGACATTTTAAATGTTTGTATTAAAATCAAAAAAAATTATTCAACCTAATGAACATAAATCTAAACAAACCTCTATTGTACAATACATGTTCAACACTACTTGGTTTGGATTCACCGATGACCCTATTATATCCTGGTGGCAAACGGATATGTACAAGATGTAATGTGTACGGTCTTGTATTACTAGAGTATACTGCTCCAGTAGAAAAATATAATCTAAAACCGGTCTTTGATACGGCCATGAGATGAATATGTGTTGATTCTGTTTCTTCAATGATTTTAATACTACTTAATAAAGTCATTTGAGCAACTTCTATAGTTCTAAAGCAATTTACAAAAAATATATATTATTTTTTAGTTTAACAAAATTAAAAGTAAATATATTTATTTACCTGAGTAGTTTAGATACTTGGTATTCAAGATTTGAATGTGACAAAGAAATTATTCGACTTGTCGATTTACCATCTGTTCCTAGATCATATAATTCAATTGAACTATTTTCAGACAAGGTATAGAGTATATGACGTGTGTTATCAATGGTCATTTCAATGATAGCTGAAGGCTCGGTGATTGTATACGTTAAGAATGATGGTAATATGTATGATAATGTACCAGACGAGTGACAAACTTTCTTACAACGTCTTCCATTTCCAATTGAAAACCAACCTTTGTCCCTCTAAATATGTAGAAGAAAAAAAAATATTAATATTTTTTTTACTTGAAAATAAATAAATTATCAATGAAAAAAATGAATTCAAACAATACCCAATAATCAATTTCGAACAGGTTACCATCTTCACTTCCAAGAAAAATACGTCCATTATTTGTCGCGCTAATTTTCGAAGTTATTAATCCTTCAGTAGGAACTTCATAGATAGTATCTGTAGTGAGTTCTAATTGTTCTGTAGTTTTTCCTAATAACACAACATTTTTTTTTTGTTAATTTTTTTTTTTTTTGTGATACTCAGAATATCAATTGATTACACATTTTTGTTTTCTTTAATTACAAATTATTGATACAGGACTGAGGGGGGACCATTTCAGCATTACTCCTCCCAGCCCAATATCAATTCTAATTAGATTCTTGGTTATTGAACAGAGGCAATCTAGTGTGACCACACAGCGCAGCAACATCACTGTTGCCTGATAGCCAGATACTTAGCTTGCTTTGCCTTTCTTTCTTGCCATGATCCCCTCGACCATAACAAAGAAAGCTTTTTTATCTAAGGAGAGGCGCTAGCCGCACAAAAAGTCCAAGGTGGCCTCCGGATATAGGTCCTGGTCATTGACGAACATAAAGAACTCATGCTTCTTCTAATCCAAAAAACGGGCACACAAATGTAGTGTGCTCCGCTGTCATCCCCACCCAAGCACCTAATCCAGTAGAGGTATTGGCCAAGGCACCCATGACCCATCAGCACCTGAGTCAGGTGGAATATAGAGGGAACTATGTACCTGTTGCACACGACAGCGAGTCTATTTCTTATACTAATTTAACTGTAAGGACAAAATTAAATTACCATCAACACTGGTGACTTTTTTAAATGTTACACCTAATATAGCAATGTTTAATCCAGTAGCTAAGACTAACAAATGTTTAATGTGTTCTTGAAATACATTTGGTTTGGGTGGTACTAAAGCAACTGCAAAAATGGTGGAGTTCATTCCATCAAAATAGGATAAATCCGTCCTAAAATAAAATAAAAAATAATAATGTAAATTGTTATTAAAACAAAAATTAATTACTATACTAACCCTTCACTATAATCCCATAAGAAAAACTCTTGATCAACTGTGACCCAAACTCTGTTTATTTCAGGAAATATTCCCAACTGACGATGGAAATTTTGTGCATCTGTATTTATGACAAATAATATTTATTTAAATTCAGTTATCTCAATATAATTATTTTCTATTAAAATTTATCTGAATAAAACAATTAGAATGTAAATGACACATTTAACAATAAAAACTACATAATACTAAGAAATAAATTTTTATCTATATTATAATTTATAGTTTATTAATATTAAAATGATTAAAAAAATAAAATTATATATACCATTCCACTGCTCTAATAATGCACTAGGTAATGGTATTTTATGCCTTGATTTAAGGGGAGCAATAGACGGCATCCCTAGTCCTTCTTTTGGGTAATCATATTCTGTACAGCCACTAACACTTTGACCTAGAAATTAAATTCAACTGAAATGTAATAATGCATTATTTGGTTTATAATATTAACAATGACCTTTTTTAGATAATTGCATTTTGTCCAAAAGTGTTGGAAATGAATTGTCTGCTACAAAAAAACTATCCAAAAATTTGCCAGATAAATCTAAGCATTCTTTTAATGAAATTGAATTATCCATACCTCTTGAAACATTCATTGAATCCATTTCTGTAAAATTAAAGCATATTTCATAAATGTCATTGTTAGGTATTAACTTTTGAATGAAAAGACTAATTAATGATATTTTGAATACATACATACTTTTATAAAACTGACAAATTTCAAATTAATTAAAAGTATTAAGAAAAACAAATTGTCTAATTAATTACATAATTTAAAAAAGAAAAGTTAACTAATATCTTTGTTATGATACATTATATGCAAATTTAAAATAAATAACACAATAAAAACAAAACCAAAAAATATTAAGCTATATCAAGACTAACTGAACTATAGTTCTAACTTGGAAACATTTCCAACATTTTACAGCCTACTGGATAATTGAATAGCATTCACATCACCACTATGTTAATTGCTATTCCACCAAAATTAGTGAAACATAGAAGAATGTTGGAAACATAATGTTATTGACTAGTTTGTTAATGTATTACCTTAATCTAGACACAGCTTTACAAAAACAATTCTTTAAATTTCAAAATCATTGAAGTAAATATTATACTAAAATTGGACCAACACTTTTTGTCAAATACGAAATGTTATTTTTGAATTTGTTCTATTATATCAACTTTAAAAATTATTCTATCGCCATTCACATAAACAAAAATAATATAACCAACCACTTACTTTTCATGAAAATAATTCAAAACACTATGTCAAATTTAAAACCACAGTCACAAATAGAAACTATGTAATAGTATCACCAAACATTTTGGATGTTCATTGTTTATTTAACAAAAATTAGCTCAAGAATTACTTTTTCAGTATAATATAATAATTAAATTGTTAAAAAACTTCCTCAAAACCCGAATAAGAAATAATTATTAAAGGAATACGGTTTCCCACCAAGACGGATTGATTAAAAACAACGGGTATCTCCAATAATGTACATTGAAAAACAATATGAATATCCGTTAAGCGGCTAACCTCAAAGAAAAAAACAACAACATTAGCGAAAACGTAACTAACTTTTGATATATGACTTTAGAAACGGACTAAAACGAATCTTCAAAAAACAACCAATAGGTAAGTTTACCAGCCTAGAATTTATTCTGGTACAGACTGTGATTTTGATTTTGATGTTTTTAACACTTGGATTAGGGCATAACAGTCATAACTTACAACTCCGTGGATTAGGGTTGGGAGCAGTTGTTCGAATGATAAGAGCCGAACACGAAAAAAAGTAGCATCAAACATGTTATGCAACCTAAATGTATCCGACATTTTATAAAAATTGTTTTTTATTAGCGTATGGGTACACACTATTTAGTTATAACTCACATGTGATAGGTTCATCCAAAAATGTATAGATAATATAGGTTCATAGCACTCGTAGCACGTTTCGAGGTACATCATAAATCATGCCTCATAGCCACGTAAACAATATAAACCCCCCGGTCCCATAATGACCAGTGAGACATTACTCGCCATACACGGCGGTCGGTGTCAGCGCTTTGCTGCCTCATACGAAAACTATTTGGAAAATCAAAAAACGATATGCTGCATGAGAAATAAGTTTCGAAATACAATAAGAAAGATCTCGTTTCGGTTTTCTATTGAAGCTACATTTCTGATAGAAAACGTCGTCCGTAAATATTATTTAAATAATGAAATCGTACATTTTTTTCGGTGTTAATCGCCATTATATTAAATATCGCTTCGACAAACAAAGTACCTTACATTATGGTACCAATTGGATACAATTTTTTTTTAGAAAAAGTGCTACACTTATACATCGGTGTAAGATTTCTAGTCAAGGAGTCAAAGTGCTTAGAGAACATAAGAAAAGGTGATACTGGAGACGGATCAGGCCACTGTTGTAGGTGGGAAATTGGGATACATAAAGTTATTTAATTTATATTCAATGGTGTTCCCATTTATTTTTCTAAGAGAATACCAAAAAGGGGAAGTAAAGGGGCGCGCGCCCCCTAAATCCCGTATTATAGTGCGACCACTCAAATAACGCAAAAATTGGATATTATACCTCTATTTTTGTGCTGGTGTTGTAATTTTCGAATTTTGTGAAGATTTGATGACATTTTTTTTTATCTGCGCCCCTCTCCCCCCCATAAAGAATTTCTGAATCTGTCCCTAATATACCAAGTGGTCAAATAATACCAAAACATAAACATTTAATACAATACAAATATTTGTCTCACGGTTTAGAGCGGTAAAAGACGTGACAAAAATATGAAAACAATTTTTAATCAAACTTTTATTAATATATCTTCTTTACATTACCTCATCAGTCAACCGGTGGTCACATAAGCACAACCGTCGACTGTAACGATCAACGGATAAACTGATTAAATATTAATTGACAATTTTGTACAGGACACAGGTGTACTTCGATTACCGAACGCAATACGATTTCTGTTTTTCTTATCTGAATATCTAACGTTTATGACTATATTGTAGTATATATTTCAGTTATCAACGTCATAAATTGATTAATTGACTCAAATATGGGAAAACTATTTAATAAAATGTATTTCAGTTTTTTTTTTTTTTATAAATATGATTTGATATGATTACGATTTAATTATACCGATAATTTTGTGAAAATATATCGAGAGTTAAAATCAGAAATCGATTGAGACTTGAGAGTACACCCATATTTAACAAAAAAATTATATACTTCGTTGTTGATGAGAAATTGGGAATGTAGGATCTAGAGGGAAAATTAATTTGTATCTGTAAACAACGATAAACCATTGCTTACTAAAAACGATTCTGAGCGGAGTTCAGTTGAGAGTGATGCTTTGTTAACAATATATAAATCATACTATGGTAAAATAATTAAATAGGCATTAAATATTTTCTTTAATAATATTTGTTAAATATTGTACTAATTTTCCAGTTTTTCCTAGGTTGTTTCCGGTTTTTCACTTTTGCTGGGAAAACTTGGAAAAATCGAAAATTGACCTCTTAAAGTACCTTCCTAGTCAGATTTTCCATCAGAAAAATGCTTTCGTTGTAAATTGGAGCAAAATTGGTGATAGAAAAGTTGTCCACAGAAAAAAAATCTTAATATTTTACTAATACATTTCGTACATTTTCCCACAGTTTTTTTTTCAGTTTTTCACATTTGATGTGAAAACTTCTGAGAAAATCGAAAAATTACTTACCTAAGGTACCAGCCCGAGACAATTTTCTTTCAAAAAAAGGTATATATCGTACATATCAAAGTAAGCTTTCTGGTAGAAAAAGTATTAACATTAAAAAAAAAAAACAAAAAAAATAAACATATTTGTAAATCCAATACATTCTTCGCTACTCTCAGAATTTAAAAATGTTGAGAGTATATGGCATATATATCTAGTATACCCTATGGGAACAGCCCTGTTTATATCTGCAGGCAAAAATAAACTATTGCTAACGAAAAACGATATGGAGCGAAGTTCAGTAAGACATGTTTTGATATTCGTAATTTTTACAATTTTCGTCAACTTTTGATTCAAGCTTGACCTCAAGCTTTTAAAAAATTAATGCATAAACTCCAAAAACAAAACATAAGTTTGTACTTTGAGTTGAATTGTCAAGCATTTCTCATTAGTCATATAATTTGAATAACAGAATACCTACCAAAAACACAAAAATATCAAATACCTATTTCATTTCGAAATGTCCAATACGTTGGGAGGTGTAATACCCTATCGTAAATAATTTTAATTTTTAGCACTCCCAAGTTTTAAACTGAATGGTTATTAATTATTGTCTAATATCTTTATTAACAATAATATTTTAACATCTCATTGTGAAATATCACAGTAGTTAATTTCGTTAGCAACGGTTGGCAGTACATTTCGTTTTCGAATTTTTATCATGCCATAAATCCTTATCATTTCTGGACAACTAATGCTAATGGCCCCCATAGATAATAACGAAATACTTTTTTTTATTATCAGCTATGATATCATTGATATAATATTAATTTTTATTGTTTACAAAATAGTGTTAAGCAGTAAGCATATGGAAATGTCAGATAAATGCGAACCACAGTATTATAATAAATAATTTAAGCTACACGTGAGTATAATGATTATTATTGAGTATTGATTATTCAGTCAACAAACTATAGATCATCGCACAAAATTGTGTTTACAATTAATTATTCAATTATTTTCCTTCATAATAGGTATTAAACCTTACTGTGAAAATCTCGCTGCTACATAGATAATTTGTAGTTTAAAAATATGGAAACTAAAAATCGGTAAATTTGTTATTATTATTAATATTTATTTATAATTAGGTTTATGGTTCTTCAGAAAATTAATTTGTTGTTTGTCTAAATTACAGGTTAGGTAATTGCGAAGTTTGCAGTGCCAATACAGCTAAATATTGTTGCCCTAGATGTGAAGTAAAAACATGTAGTTTATCGTGTGTAAATATTCACAAAACTGAATTAGAATGTGATGGTCGAAAATATAAAACTGGCTTCAAGAAATTAGAAAAATTTAATGACAATGACCTAAGTCAAGGTACTATGAAATCTAATAGTTCCCACTATGATTTCCACAACAATAAAAATTAAATAATCATATTTTCAAACTAAAAACTGCCAAAGATTTTTAATCTTGCTATTATTTTCAGTTAATGACTATTTAAGATTCTATACATATACATTTGAAAAAAATAAGAAATTGTGGAAGTTAACTATATGAACATAGTTTAAACATTTAGGTTTTTTATTAAAATTGTTTTTTTCTTTTTTTACAGATTATAGACTCATGAACGAGTACATTGAAGCTATTGGGGAGTTTAAAATAAAAACCCAACGTTTATCTAATTTAACTCCTGTGAGTTTAATTATACTTTAACTACCTGCATATTAGAAATAGCAGTCTGTTTTTAAACTCTTAACATATAAAATTTTGATAAATACAGAACAACAATTACATATTGCCACCAATACATTTTTAACCATAGTATTTCTGCAAATTAAAACTATTAGGTTTTTATTTTTTTAAATTTCATTTTAGTTGTTTTCTCACTTATAAATTAAAACTGTATTAGGTTTTAATACTCAAATAGAACTAATAGAACTAAGAAACCTATTATTTTAATATATATATATTGCGTAAATCCAGTATTGAGTTAAAAGTTTATAGTTGGGTATAACTTTTGAATGATAATTTAATATAGTTTAGACTAAGAAAATGGCAACAATATAAATTAAATCAACTTTTAAATTACTCTATTCTATGTTTTCAATGTAGACTCAGCTAAAGTACAGTAGAAACTGTTTATAATGACATTTAAGGGACTAATTGAAAATTAGACGTAATTGCCAATTGTCATTACCAAAATGATAAAATAAAATTAAAAAACTTGATTATGTATATGTATTTATATCAACATGATATTGTATTACAATTAATGGGTCATATTTTTTATCACTAAATCATGACTTCAATATATATAGAAAAAAGTTATTAATAATCAATACAAATTTGTAGATATAATTTAGTAGTTTTGGTGGATCCATCAATCTAAGGTTATTACAACCGGTGTCATTATGAGCGATATCTTCTGTAAATACTATAATAAACTCCTAACTGTCTATTAAGTATCATTTTCAGAATGTGATATCTTAGGAGAAATTAAAGTTACAATATTTATCACTATACAAATTATACAATTAGTTGTTAATAAAATGTACTTACAAGTTATTCACAAAAACAAATAGAATAAGACTGTACATTACTGTATTAAAATACAAAAAACAATTTAATTTTGATGATAAATGAGTTAAATGTATATTAGATATTTATTAATAGGTCACTTGTTTTCAGGGATTTCGAAGACTACGTTATCAAGCATATCAACGGCATAATCGTTTACAAATTTTACCAAATTCATCTTTAAATAAAAATAATACTTCCTATTATAATAATAAACTGAATAAAATATTTTGGCGTATAGATTGGACATTCCATGGTACAAATGTTAAATTATCAGACCACAAGTAATGTATTATTATTTTTATTTTTTATAGTGCCAATATTGATTATTTTGTAATATTTTACTGTATGATTCTCAGAGTCCCAGAGTATCTAAAGTTCAAAGATATTGTGAGAAAATATCTTACAACAGAATTTCATGATGACAAAGTAAATGAAGAAATGCAATTTTATATTTCTGCTGGAATTAAAGAAGTAACTTTATTAATGAAAACTCCATATGGAAAGTGAGTATAAATAAGTATGTTTGTATTATTTCAATTATCAAAATAAATATATATTGTTTAAGGTATTATGAAATTGATTCTGAAGATTCAATCTTATATACTTTGAGATATAAATCAATATTGGAATACCCAGAAATCTTAGTCATCTTATCTATTCATAAGGAGGGATTTAGTCATCTTATTTATCAAGAAAATCCGATACTTCATAATAATAAACGAATAAAAACAAATTAAATTACTAAAATATGTATAATTTATGATCATTATATCATACTTTTACCATAACACTATTCACTTAAAATCTTAAACATGACAATTGACAAATAAAATTGAGCTTAAACAGTATTTTTATTTTATTGTCTAATGTTTTTTTCAACGCAAAACATCCTCACTGGGGCTGCCGTGCCAGTAACTCTCGTGGCAACACTCTTCTACAAGTCATCTCCTACAAACAATACAAAGTTCACTTTCCCCGATCCAACTTATTGGCCCACATCCCCATCTAAACGTCCTGACATCCTCGACATCTTCATCTCCAATGTACCAAACGGTCTCTACCAACACACCGAAAATTTTAATTTCCTTCTTTCTGATCATTCAGCTGTCCTCACCATAAACGCTTCACTGCCATTTCAATCGCTCAAACCCTCACTAACAAACAAAAACACTGACTGGAATTCATTTTGGTCACAACTTTCTAATGATTCTAACCTAAACATAAAACTTAAATCTCCGGAAGACATTGAAGACGCTATTACCAAATTAAATCAATTGATACAAAGAGCCGCGTGGAACTCTTCCCCAATATCACAACCCTCCCCTCCCTCTTTCATAAATATTCCAACTCATATATGTCATGTAATTAGCGAAAAACGCCATGCTAGAACTCAATGACAACGAACCAAATACCCCTCTGACAAAAATCGTCTAAACTCCCTATCTACACAATTAAAAAGACTGATGTTGAACTTCAGAAACCAATCATTTACTAAATATATAGCCTCACTATCCTTCAAAGATGGTTCTATCTGGAAAGCCACAAAAAAAGCCCTTAAATTTAAACCCTCATATCCTCCCCTAAAAAAACCCAACAACACATGGGCCATTGAGGACCCAATAAAAGCAGATCTCTTTAAAACTCACCTAGCCAAAGTCTTTAAACCTCACAATAATATAAACAACCCAGCTTTTTCCAACGAAATTGAACAATTTTTGTTTTCCCCCTTGCAAATGAATCTACCCCCTAAAGCGTTCTCTCTTGCAGAAGTCTAACATTGCATTAACACTTTCTTTAAAAGGAAGGCGCCCGGTTTCGATCTTATAACCTATGAAGTAACCAAACATCTCCCAAGGAAAACGCTAATACTTCTTACGTACATTCTTAATTCAATTATTCGTTTATCCTATTTCCCGCTTCAGTGGAAGTTTTCTATAATTATAGTCATTCCCAAACCTGGTAAGCCCCCCGACATTCCCTCTTCGTACAGACCTAGAAGTCTTCTACCTTTCTTCTCGAAGGTACTTGAAAAACTAGTGCTCAAACGAATTAGTTCGATCATAAATAACTCTAAAATTATTCCCAACTCGCAATTTGGTTTTCGAAATTGTTACTTCACAATTCACCAAGTGAATCGCATAACTGACATAATTGCTTCAGCTCTAAAAAAAATGGAAAAAAACGGTTGCTTGGCAACCCTCCCAAAAGATTAAAAAGAAAGTGGTGCCGCGACCTACTTCTATAATTTAACCTTACAACTCTGACCTGAAGTGTCGCCAGTGGGCGGCTTCTTCTTCATGTCTTCTGGCTGTAACCTTAATTTTGTTAACACTTAAGCTTATTATACATAATTTGTATAGATTGTTTAACTCAAATATAGTATAAAAAAAAAAAAAATTGTGTAATGTTTAAAATATTTTTTGCAGCATTGAATAATTCTTTAAATTGAGTTCAATTTTTAACTAGCAATGTTAAGTACCTATGAATTATTTTTGTTATTGTAAATTTATTGGTATTGTTTTTATACTTGTAATGATTGTATACTATAATATGTGTTTAATATATTTTTATTTCAATTTTTATTTCCAAATTTTTAACTCATTTCACTTTATAATACAAATTATGATTTAATAATAAGTAATACTATTACTAGTAATACTGTTACTATTAAGTAGTAGTAGTATTTAATTATTAATACAAAACCTATATTATAACATAGATACCTATATTTAATTAAGGCTATCTTTTAATAAGGAGCATACCTATCTAATCATAACAAATCTACCACAGAGTATAATATAATATTATACATGTTGTTCTTATTACGTCTATATTATGTATAATAATTATACCATAATGATAGTATAGACCAAATAGTTAATACTATCAATAATTTACAATAGTTTGAATGAACTATCAAATATTTCATTTGAATATTTTTTTCCAAGACATATTTTAAATTTTTTTTGATTATTGTTGATTTGTTATAAGTATCATAATATATTTTAAATTGTAAAATTAATTTGGAACTATTGAATACATCTATCTATTCGATAGTGCCAATCACTACTATATCTATCATCAGATTTACTCACAAAAAACTTGGCTTATGCTATAGATTGGTTTATTTTTTTTAATAGTTATCTTGTCTTATTCCTCCAAACTCATACTCATATACTCTGTTTTACTTCTTCTTATATCCTTAGTCTCTTTCCTTCAAGTATTACTCTCAATTTCACAAGTCTATTTTTAATTTCTTTCAGATTTTCTCCTAATAAAGCTTTAGATATCATCTGTAAACATCATGTACTTACCATGGTAGGTACTTCCTCAAACCCAGATCCCTGCACACATTTGAGATGGTACAATACACCCAAGTCTTGCTTAAAACTGCTTATACTGTTTGATAGAATTTTGCACCTACTGTCGACCAATCACATTGGTAGAGGTATCGTAGGAGCAGGTATACTGATTCCTCCCACAGGGAAAATAATACTGTCAACTAAAAGGTGAATTATTCCACCCTACAGAAACAGTAACATGTCTACTGGAATCACCCACCTGGGCTTTCCACCAATAGGAACTCGAGCTTCGGGTTTGCTAAACCTATAGCATCATATGCTCCTTGAGGTTTACTTATGAAATTTTAATGTATATATACTAGTATATGTAATACTAGTTACAGTCTATAAACACAACTTTAAAAATAAGTATCTATCTATAGGAACATAATATTATATACGAGTACAATACACTTGTTACCTATTTAATAATGTTAATAGAAGTAAACTAATTTCTTCACCACAAAAAAATACTACCAATCCCAAGTATTTTTGATGAAAATGTTTGAATTTTAGAAACATCCACCTGAACCTGAACCTTGTTTAAATTTCAACCCATACGCCAAAATCGCTCCCTTTAAAACTAATTTAAATGCTAGTGAATTATAACCAGTGCCTGCCTATATAGCCAAGTAAGTTAGCGTTTAAATTATTAAAGCTTAAAGGATACACAATGATTATATTATTATTTGATCATATATTCCTACATAGTACAGGGGTAGTATTAAAAGGCTTAGGCGTGTCAATAAATAAAAATAACCGATATTTATGACCAAACTATAGATATATTTTATAAACGTACAACATTTCAAGAATTAAACTCAAGACTCCAGATGGATTACATTCATATTATTTTAATTTAAAAACGTAATTTGATAATACTATACTATACCTATACGGGCTTTAGGTTACTCTATTAGTATTCTCATCGTGAAATAAATAGAAAACACGTATAGCTCGTATTTCCATTTATTGTATTCCTAGAGACGGATTGAGCCGTCACAACCTGGTCGCTTCCTGTAGTGTACCTTTCTTGTTTTCTAAATAAACAGATCAGATTTTAATAAAAAAGTAAGTTAAAATGATCAACGTTTAAGGATGTAGAAGCCGGTGCTTTTTTAATACAAACACATGTCTAACAGGAAAAATTCTCACGTCCTATAAAATAGTCAGATTTTGTTAAATTTTTTTTATTCAAAAGAAGAAAACACTTTGTAGGTCAGATAGAAGCCCGATTTTCATACTTCTAATCAATGATGCTTAAATATGCATTTGAAGAATGCCAATATTAGTTATTTTTTTAGACGTATTTTTCTATCGCTTTTCAAAATCAAATGAAAACTCGGGCTTCTATCCGACTTGCAAGAAGTTCTATTCTTTGAAATAAATAGAAAAAAATGATCAAATTTCGACAAATCTACGAGGTTTCAGAAACCAAATCCGATTATTCTGAGTTTTCTTTGTTCAGAGCTCGTTTTAAGTTTGTAAGTAAAAATTGTAATAGATCATCATAACCTTTTGACAATACGAACGTTGACGAGATATTGCACTTCTATGATATTTTCAATATAGGTTGCCATTTGAATTTTATAGTTGATCCCTCCCAAAGAAGCGTTTAAAAATGTCCATTCTTACATATAATTTTAGATTACACTATTTAATAAAAATGTTTCATTTGCATATTTTCTATTTTGTTTATTTATAGGAGAAAATTGCTGAAGCATAAAATTCTGATCACACTGTAGGTATATAATATGTATTATATTATTTTTGAAAAAAATTTGTTTTTCTGACAATAGGCCGGCATGCGTACAGATTTCTCGCGCTAAATTTGTATCCCAATCCATCCGTGTTTAAACATAAATGTTATTCGTATTACCTACTGATTTTATTATGGTTTTTTAAAATGTCCCCGAACCTGTATAAATCAAAGATGTAAATAAAATAAAATATTGGAGATGCTAAAACACTATACATTGTTATAATAAAACGTTAAAGGTCTAATCATTAACTAACTTTAAATTCGCATTCAAATTTCAATAGTTTGACAATTGTCGAATATTTTGTAAAATATTATCAATTGATATTGCAAAGTTCAAAAATTAAAATTTTATAAAACTGGGAGTTTCAAGTACTCTCTCCCCCATTTTGTAACCATGCCACAAGTTGAACATTATTTTTTATACAGAAAAAAATACATTCATAATTAATTCAGTAAATTTTGTTTTTTAACACAAATTAATCCTCTCTGTGGCCCTCTCTTTTCGAATCCAATCCGACAATCCGACTAGTCGGCAGAAAAACAAAACCGTTTACATTATCGTCGGAAGAGAAATCGATTTGATTTTCTTCCGACGAGTCGGACAAATTTAGATTATTTGGATTAAATAATCGATAATTTAGAAACAATAAATAATCGAAATTATATACACTCTTCAATGTCGTGTGTGACTATACTTATTGTTTGTTTGATGAAATGGTCGAATGTAATCGATTATTATGCATTATTTATGCGTCTAACAGGACTTTGGATTATTTAAATATAATATTTTACTATCTAGTAAATCATCCCATTCGTCTTCTGAACAGCTGAAACTTAAAATATACATATTGAATAAAAAGCTCTATAAATACGTGGTATATACTATTTTTTTTGTAATAAATAAATGCCAGAGTAGATAACAAGTGGTACGAAATCTGAAATAGTATGTAGCCGCCACAAGTATCGGACGAGTAGAATGTTGGTCGGGTCAGTCGAATCGGATCGGATTGGATACGGTTCTAATGTAGCCGTAGCCTAAAAATAAATATAATCAAATATTTCAACCAATATATATTTATATGTAGTCTCGTTTAGTTTCAATATTAACTAATATCGTGGTTTTTGATCAGGTATCGGTTCTATATTGGAATATCGGTTTAAAAAAGATATTGACTCATCCCTACTATTTATATTTATTTTATAAATTACATATAATAATATAGTGATCTACAGGAAGACCGGGTCATCCGTAAATTACTTGATAGGCTGTTGCTCAAGTGTCTTATATGATAAT